AGATTGAAATGATGGGGCTTTATGGATTTGTTTATAGATAAGAGATGGGATGTGGGAAGAAGAGATCATTTGTTGTATTTTGAGAGAAGGCGGTAAGTTATTAAAATTGTTTAGACTTATTGTGATGAAGATGGAAAGTCACTTCTTCATATATTTCTTTTCTTTTTCTTTACTATATTCTTATTTTTTCTTTTCTCTTTCTCTTTCTCTTTTTTATCTTCTTTTTCTTTCTTTTCTGCACCTTTTACTTTTTCTTTGTATTCTTTTATTTTTTTCAGTTTGAAGTAGTTTTTACTGTTGTAATTATCATATTTAATAAAATTACTATATAAAAAGAATTCTAGATATTTCTGCATTAATGTGCTCACCATTATTTATTTATTTATTAATATTTATCTATTTTAATTTATGTTTATTCCATTTTTACTGTAAACTGCCCAGAGTCACTCCGCAGTGAGATGGGCAGTGACAAATTTGAAATATAAACAAACAAACAAACAAACTTGAATAATACAATGCTACATGACACTAAGTAGACAGTTAAAGCATTTTGCACTTAGATCTTGTCTAAATTCATTTATAAACACTATAGCTTGTGAGGTGCCCTTCCCTTACTGAAGAAAATATACAGAGACTGGAATTAGCCTTGAGATTGCAAAAATGTCAAAGTTTTCATGCTGGACTAGACTTTCAATATAATCCCATCCAACACATTTCAACTCAGACATAAGCTCCACATAGTTCAGCAGAGTTTGATTCCAGGACATAGTTTCAGGATTAGAGCCGTAAAGTGAGTGCCCTCCTGAACTGTTTAGCATTCTGTCTTCAACAGCGGCAAGTGGATTTCATAGAAAAGCCAGGCAGAAACAGTCATCTTCTGTTACTGTCTGGTATCTGGTTTAGGACACAATGTTAAAACCATCTATTGCTCTTTGGCTATTGGCAATTTACCACGCAAACCTATAGAAAGAGTTCTGCACGCATCTACTCAGAAGTAAGCTCTAATGAGCTAAATGGGGGCTGACTCCAAGGTAACGCATATAGGATCCAGCTTCAAATTTAGCAGCTTTTTGATGGGTTACAATGTCCCACCTGCTACCCCCAAACCCAAATGAACTCTAAATAATCAATGGAATACAAATCAGTAGTTTTGGTCATGTGACCTAATGGTTAACTTACTGTGGGATATGGATGAGAGCAGAATACAGTATATTTTCGGATGACACCATTTAACTTTATGGGAGGCAGCCAAGATACAAACACAGTAGAAGCTGATGCTGCAGCTGCTTTAACTCCAGCAGGAGGACCTGGAACTATAAGAACAACATATGTGGCTGTTGAAGTAGGAGAAATAATTCAATGTATATTGATGTGCAGTGTGGCAAATCTAATATGACAAGCACGGCTATCTCAATCATACAAACATCTCAAGACAAATTCTTGCGACAACCAATAAACCAGTGTGAAATTTTTGAGCCGCCTTCCTTAAATATCCTGCAATATCACAGCCAATGTTGGGGTGCACTTCTTTGATCAACCAGTGGGACCAATTTGGAGATAGTAAAGCATCTTTGGTATGGAAGAGACCAAATAAAAATACATATTTATTTGGTTTATTTATTAATCAAATTTATATCTTCCCTTCCATTCAGGAGACTCCAAGCAATATATGTAGTGCTTCCTCCTCCTATGTTTCTTCATCACAAGAACAAGCCTGTGAGGTAAGTTGGACTGAGAGAGATGGACTAGCCCAAAGTCACTTCAGGGAGATGGGGCACTTTGCATTCACAAAACAAAGCACCTCTGTGGGGTGACTGACTGGGATCCATCCAGGCCTAAAGTGCAGAACCTCCCCTCCTCCCCAGCTGTCATTCACTTCTAGCCTATCCTGGACAGGAATACAGGTCAGAAGCTGCTTCGGTATCTGTGATGATTTCTAAGCCTCTGTACAAAAGTGCCAGCGCAAGGTTAGGCTTTAAATTGTTCTTTTGTAAACTTCAGCAGTATGCTGAATGCTTCTCCAGCTTAGATATCTCTTATTGCCTAGAAGGAAATGGAAATTATTTTTGAATGATTTTCTTAATTTCCAGAACAGTGGCATTAATTTTAGGAAATGATCAAAGAGTCCTGAAATAATGTAAGGTTTGCCTCTTGAATCTTAAAGTGGTGTTGCTAGTGATCAAAATACTTTCAACAGGAAAAAATTGAGAGAAACCTGCACTATTTGAGAGAGTCTTTTACACAGGATGCATAAAGCGGTTGGGATTGTTCAAAAATGTTTCTACCATAACTGGAGAATCCCTCTGTTCTTTAGTGGTTTATGAAACCATGTTTCTTCTTTCTTGGAGAGAAAGAGGGTTGGACATGTGACTGGAATGCCATTAACTCTTTAGCACCTCATGGCTTACTGACCACAAGAGGCAGAAGGCTGTAGATAGATATTTAACTCTGTGTCCTCTCTTTGTATATCACTTTGTCTGCTCTCTGTCTATGAGATGGTTAATCTCAAGGTCACTTCCTCCTGCCTTTGTTCCAGGCACACATGCAGGGAGCTCTTATTCTCCAACTCACCTCCTGATGAGTGTAGTTAGCTAGCTGCTAGGCTTGCCTGTCACTATCACCTATCTCCTTAAATAAATCTCCTTTCTCTTGCAAACCTGCTTCACTCCTACTTGCTTAGGTTAGATTCTGGCTCTCAGGAATGCTCCTATACATGTACAAAGGCTTTTCCCCCAACAGAATGAGGAAGCAGTACCACTCCATAAGCCAACTACACAAGGCACCTTCGCTCCCAAAATTGCCTCCTAGACATTATTTGGTACATGTATAACATACCCTTTAATGCAGAAACATTCTCAAAAGCAACTTACAGAAATCACATTAAACAAAAATATAAAACCAGACTGAAAAATGAACACAACAGTGAAAACAGGCACATCTTTGCCTGGCACCAGAAATATACAGTATCTATCCACAGCTCATAAGTCTTTATCAGGAAAAGATCCCTTATAAATTGTGCAATCAAAGCAGCACTTTTCTCAGTGCCACTTTTCTCAACTGCAAGGAAGCTATGGATCATGGGAGTGTCCAAGCAATGGCCTTGGATTCATGAAAAACACTTTCATTTGCTTGAGCCACAGCACCAGATTTGTATGGGTTGTTCCCAATTGCTACAGCATTTCATATTACATTCTGTTCTGGAGGACTCCCCAATCCTCAGAGATAGCTTTTTAGACAGTGACGTAGGAGACTGAAACAAAGGGGAGAAACTTAATAACAGTTGGGCGCCCTGACCTACACATGTAGAAGCATATTCCACCAAGAAGGGAAAGCTAACATTAGAAATGAAGTCTCCAGGTCCCACCCAGAGCACATTAAGCATTTTTAAATATGGTTGGACATGGAAGGGGAGCCACTGCAGTACATATGTACGAATTTATCAAATAATGCACACATTGTCAAATCTCAGTGAAGAATTAAGTAGCTACATTTTGCTCTGAACTCTCTCTCTCTCTGACACACAAACGCACACACACACAGAGAAACCTTTTTTCAGGAAAGCTGACTCAAGTTAGGGAAGCAAGTCAGGAAATGTCATATTGTTAAATTGCAGGATGCAGAAAATAAGTTAGAAGCAGAATATAATTGTCCTTTCTCTTAAGACAACCTGGAGTCTAGGAGTTAATATTTAGATGAACTGCTAAAAATCAGGTAGAAGGAGAGGGGAAGGAATGGAAGGAAAGAACTAGAAGTGCGAGGAGGCAAAGTGAGTATGGCCAAAAAGGTATAAAACCCAGAATCCAGGTAAGGTATGGCAGGCAAAGAACTATACTTCTAATCCGCGTAGGATAGCATCCATTGTTTCCTACACTGAGAACAGCTCTACCCATTGATTCTCATTGTGCCTAAGTAGCTTGGTGAAGTCAGAAGAGCTTTTACTACCTACCGGTATTTTTAGTGGGGCTCAAGACTGAAATACATGTGGGTAATATACTGAGATAAGAGTGGGTAATATGCTGTGACAAAGCAGCTGAAGTACTGTTACACACACACACACAAATAAAATGTTGAACCAAGTTTCATCAAATAGGAAGAAAAAAGATTCAATTAGTTCAAACTAGTACCATTTTCTAGACCATACTAATTTTGCAGCAGCCATGGATCTAGTTCAACGGGTCTGTCTATTAAGGGACACAGATTCATTGTTTTAATTAAGGTTTTACAATGTATTATTTCTAATGAATGCAATAATTCAGCTCCCATGCCGTCACATACAACAGCCTGTGAAAATGCAATTTAAGCCTCGAGGATGGAGAGAAAATGACTGTGTTTAAATTTTAATGATCAGTGAAATAAATCCTTAGACGGAAAAATAATTCTATAAATAACTCCATAAATAAATAACTCTATTTATAGTTTAGAAGGAACCCAAGCAAATGGAATAAAATGAATATATAAAAAAAGAACATAATTTTTGCTACAATATTCACAATATTGTAAACGGAAACAATATTTTTCCCTGATGACTTCAGTGAAGAAAGAGCAAACATGCAAATCTTAAAAAGAATCTTTTTATTGTTATCACAGTCAGAACTTAATTTTATATAAACAGAGCCATAGTTAACTTATGATTTCTAAAAGACAATACTGAGAATGATAAGAAACACAAACACGTACTGGTACTCTTCCTTATCTCCTGGATTTGTATTCATTGTATGAATACCAGAATATATATTTCTTTTTACCATTTTATAAGGAAAAGATTCTACTGTGCCCAAAACACAGAAACTCCAGAAGCAATGCCCATGGAAAGTTATACTGTACTTCATTCAAAGCACATCTAAGTTCAAGTTCAGAAACATCACAGGAAGAATTATATCCAAACCGTCATAACAAATTAGCCCCTAAGATTCAGATAGAAACTGCTATAAACAAAGGTCACTAATTAGTAGTTTATAATGAGTTAGGGGCATTTCACTCTCTATTTTTATGACAACATCCATCATCCTGGAGAATTGGTCAATGGGGAGAAGTGATGACAAACTCTGATAGGCTGCTCTAAGGAGGCAATCTTACCCCCACCTAAAGGTATACTTCACAAGAGACCAAGTTCCCATAGAAAAATATCTAAGTCAAAATGATTACCTTTAGTCAGAGCCTTCATTTTTGTATAGTATTTCACTGAAGGTGCATTTACAGAAAAAAGTGACAACCTGGGCAAAATCTAATAACAGTGTTCCATTTCAACATTCCTATTAGGAATATTTTGGGTCTTACCATCCTCCTTTGTGCGTGTGAAAATCTGCTCGCTCCTGACCCCATCTCCAGCTCGCGTGAATGCCAACACCTGGATGCTATAGTTGGTGTACTTTTCCAAACCATCAAGCTCTAATGATGGCTGTACAGTGGTGACATTTTTAATTTCTCCCAGCTCTATAGAACAGAGAATTAATTTGAGTTAGTGACAGTAGGATTCTTCTCCCAATAAGCGGTAGTTATATTGCTATGAGAACAGGCAAGTAAAACTTGTAACCAGCACAGGGACAAAGTTATTATGCTTATTAAATGAACATATTAAATTCCCATGCTGTGCATTTAATCAAGCATTTGCAATTGTCTTGTAGATAAAAATAAACATGTCAAAGATTTGAAGCTCCTGATGTGCCATTTTTCGCCCACTGTTTATTGTTTAAAATATACTATTAAGACATTGGGATTAGAAAATGATTGGAACCCACATTTTAATTTATTAATTTTAGTTCTTAATTTCTGAAAAGAAGCTAAATAATCGAAATATGTAGTGTGCCATTAGAAAAATGGTTATGAACATCCTTTTTGTTGCAAGACAAAGTATGTGAAGGGGTGGGCTGGAAGTACAATATCAGACCGGCTGTTCATCCAGAGCCCTATCAGCTCCTGCTGCCTGGGCAACGGCAGGGATGGCTAGTGCTTCAGATTGATGTAACAGAGAAGATGGATCTTGGTTTCTTTTGTGGGAAACTGAAAGCTTTGGATCCAGTGAATCCTTTCATCTTGCCCTGTTTCAGTGGCAGGAACAGCTTCAACTTACCTTTTTTATATATACTAAGGTAAATAACTTGATTAGCTAACCAAGAATAATGGTGCACAGGCAGTAGTCTTCCCAGATAAAACTGGGATTGCCAACCTGGACAGTCGTCCCTGCAGAGGTTCTTTTTAACAGCAGGGGGACCTTCTCTATCTTCCTCTAGCTCTTGCCTGCTAGTTTGATTTGAAAATTAGGGTTGCTTCTTCACAATTTATTTATAGTATATCTTATATAAGTTCAATAGGAATTCAGTCCCTGTGAGGTCAATATGGTGAACAAAATGAGCATTGCAGCCTAACTCACACATTCCATTTCCAATAAGTATCAAAAGATGACACTATGAGCAACTACCTAAAGAGGATTCTTGTTACTCTTGATCACTAGCAACTTCTTCAACGATTTATTAGATGCTCCTATGGTTGGGTTGCATTACAAAATATCAGAGATGCTTCTAGTATTCTACTGATTTGAATTTCCTCCCAAATTTCAGAATGTTCAGGTTCTTGCTTATGAAATGGAACTATATATTAAGAATTCTTAACTATTCTGTTCCCTGTTTCTAAATTATTAATTCCTATGTACATAGGCACATTTTAAGATCCTGCAAAAATGCAATATTGATATTATTGTATGTATAGCTAAATAGCTACCTTAAGATTTTTAACAATGGCATTTTGCCAATTCGTAGAAGTACATGCCTGCAATAGTAAAATGCCACACAAAAATATCTTAATACAATTACATAATATATAGCATACATTTGTTTGGGAGAGAGAGCACACATTCATAGTGGCAACTGAATAATACAGTACATGAAATCATTTTCAGTTCCTAAAAGATTAAATGATTTGTAGAAACGAAGGACAGGCTGATTCTGCAGTAGAAATGGGAAGAACTCTTTCATCCTGGAAAGTATTATTAATAAAATTCTAATCTTGAGGGGTAAAACTACTTACCTCCATCCAAAAGATTAGCCCAGTATATAACCCTAAATCCCTGTAGAATTCCATTGAGGGCATCTTTGGCGAGTGTAGACCAGGTGATAGAGATGGTTTCTGGTGATGTAGCAATGGCTTGGACATTCTCCGGAGGGGAACTAGGAACTGAAATTTGACAGTAATAGGTTTGGACTATGAATGCTATAAAAATAGTATGTACAAATTATCTTTGACATTTCTTCAATAAGCCTTTTAGGACAGAGTGATAAGATTATTTTTAGAATACTCATGTAACACAGTGTAGACAAGCTGGAAATGGTGCACTCTGTAATTCTTGTTGCCCTAAATGACATGGATTAGAAGGGCGGGATATAAATTTGTATACAAAAATAAAATAATATACTAGAGAAAGAAGCGAATCCAGTTATGCTCCCTATAAGATATGTTCAGAAGTGTAACTCAAACTTTAGATGACCTCCTAAGATGCTCTTTTGTTATCCACATTTTTTTCTTTTTCTATATACAGAGTGGATAATTTTGGAAGCCCAGCTTTCTAAACTGGAGTTCTTAATATTTCAAGGATATTTCAATGGTTACTTTACAAATTGATCAAGACATAGAAAATATCACCAATATATTAACTATTAATAGGAACTAAGCTTTTAATTTTCTATAACAACAATCAAAAAGAGCTCAGAGCTATCAAAACAATGCCTGTAGCCAAAGGCACAGGGCCTCCATCACTAAAGGCTGAGAATAAGATTCATGAGAAGCTGGTCTTTTCTTCTCTTTCTTCAGAGTCAGCAGTAGGGAATCCCTACTATATATGTAAGTAATCTCTCAGCTGGAACAATGCCAACACCTGTAAATCTTTGCAACCTAAAATAATCTCTTTCTACAAGATGCTGAGCTTCAAACAGTAGCAATAAGACAGACTGCCAAGAATCTCTCTCAACCGTATTAGAGCGACTTGAAAACACAAAGAGCACAGTATTAGGTAAGGCTCTTTAAAGATACTTAAATAAGCACTCAAATACAAACACTTTTTGTTATTTAATTCATATACGTAAGAATTTCATCTCATATGATATTTCTTGGTAATTATTTTAAGAGTGTTCTAACCACATAAAAATTTGAGAATCTCCCCCACAAGAAAGTCCTAATAATAGGACATTATTTTCCATACTTTTCTTTGTTGATGGAATATAGCCACAAGAGGGCTCTCTTCTGCCGCTCTGGACAACTTGATCTCAATAAACTCAAAACACATATGCATATGTGTCTTTTCCAAACAGTGCCCTTCAGATGAGTTCATCTTGTATAATTCTCAGCCAGCTTGGAGCAAGCTGAGGTATAATGTACTTTTGTCTTTCTTAAGAAATGTCAGTTCTTATTAAAAGCTAGTGCACATTTTCTTGCTATGCCTTGTACCTCAACAAGGCAAGATGCTGGAAATACATACATTATCCCCCTCCTTCACAAACACTAGATTCTAGCAGGTGGAGGAAATATGAGTAGATTCTCCCCTCAGCTCTTTGCGCTCACACTTTTTTTTTTTTAAATAGATCTATGTCCTGATCCCTTTATTTATCCTATGTACAAAGGTAGGATGGGAGCTAGAGACATGCAAGCAGAGTATTTTTTTTTTTTTCCTATGGCCAAATTACACTTGAAGCTGAGGAAATCTAACTCAGGAACATGGCAAGACACGATAGATTAACCATTGTTCCTCCATGTCCTCTTTTACAGTCTGATTTGGGAGCCCATGAATGAGAACACTATGTAACCTACAAAACTCTTGAGCTGACACAAAGCATTTCAGATTTGTGCAAAAACTAGTCATTTGTTTACTGATTTTAGCTTGATGGACATCTTGTAAAACTCAGAAAATTCCCAAGATTCTTTATACAGTAGTAGCAGGTTGTTGAGTACACTCAGATTCCTTCTATTTCCAACATGGAAAAGAGCAAAGGAAAAAAAAAACACTGTTCCAAATTCAGAAATCCAAGCAGTACAGCATAATTAGGACCACAACATTTGTTACTGCATTCAGTAAAAATATATCATCAAAAATTATACTGTTTCCTCAGATATATTCACAAGCAGTTTATCCCTAGGGAGCAATTTGGGAAGAGATAGAAATAGTACCCCAAAAGTGGTGGATAGAGATCTAGCTGTACCCAAAATAATTTTATTAACAGTTTTTTCCCCAATAGCTAATGCCAGATTATACAACATACACTGACACTTAAATGCAAATCTATTTTCTAAAAATATAAAATAATGGATCAACTCCATGCATCCTCAATGTGATAAAAATGATGTTTTTAAGTTTAGTACCCACCATCCTCAAGAGTAGTGGTGATAATTTCTTGAGAAGATGGTCCTATTCCAGCTCGATTACATGCTTGCACAACCATGCCATATTGTGTGAATTTTTTAAGATTATCTAAGGTGTAAATTTCACTGTCTCCAGTAGTATCAATACTGATGATGTTGAACTGGAAATTGCCTCCTGCGCTGTATTCCCGGTAGCCAATCTGATAACCGCGAATAATTCCATTTTGCAAATGCTTCTTTGGAGCCTAAAGAAATCAGATGTTGTTTACGATTCCAACATAATAAAACATGACCATAATAACTTAAATGCTAAGAAAAATTTCGTCTCCCAAAGTTCATACTACTAATGCAAGTATTGGGTTGAACTCTAAGTTTATGATAATAATTAAATATAACTTGAATTAAAAATGTAACAGCAGCATTTCTGAAGACAAATTAGAAGTAGGAATCTCTTTTTCCCTCCTTATAATGGAAGCAATCATTGCAGTGAAACTCTCTAAAACCATAATAATTAACAGTGATTGCAATAATCTGTCCCTGAGCCCCAGACTGTAAACGTCCAAATGTAGGTTTTATTGTAAACTGTCTGTTGTAGATAGAAATCATTCTGTCACTGAATGGTCACTCAGCTCCCTGATGGTAACCGTAGAAGGCAGTTTCCCCCTGACCTGGAAGTATTAGATACTATCAGCCATTTCCCTCTTATCTGTGAAAATATTAATTCTATTTTCCTAGTTCAGATTCTAATTTCAGGGAAATTTTGTGATGGTGATGATGATAAAAATAATAAACTCATTTTTCCATGAATCAAGTGCAGTTTTTCACTGAAAAGAAATTGAGAGCAGAGCTACAATTTTTAATCTCAAAATAATTACTATGAAAGCTATAAAAGATTTTACATTCCTTTCAAACATTTTTCAATATATTCACAAACATTTATAAAATTAGCTGAGATACTTACATGACATTTTAATTTAAATTCCTTTGAGTCAAGCTTGACACATGTGGACTGTTTGGATACATTCATGTTGTTTTCTTGGCAACAATTTGGAAATGGCTGCCATTACTTTCTTCCAGGATGTTTTTCAATTTCCCGGAGTAGCATATAGTTCTAGGATATCATTGTAATATCCATTCCACGTACTAACCAAGTTTGACATTACTTAGCCATAGTAGAAGTCACAGGTGTTTAGCTATGTCAGCTGTTACTGTGAACAATTTGACTTGGAACAGTAATGGTTGCATAAGGCTTTGCTAGTAGTTACAGAATTTTAGTTATTCATAAATTCAACAGCATGTCTTAAAATTTAGCGGATAGCAAAGTGGAAGCTAAATATTATGAAAGCCTACTACCTATTTTCTATAAATTGCCAATAATTATAAGTGAGCCTTTTCCCCCTGAAAATGATGACAGAAATCTGAGATTTTGGACAAACACAATAACTCTGCTTTCCTCATACCGTTTTTTGTCTTAGATACAGAGGCAATTCCTTTCAGATAACCTCAGAAGGTCTCTATCCTTATTTTTCAGAGGCACAAGAAATATTATAACAGCATATTTGGCTTTTTATAATGGCACTGGATAATTATTTAGTTACTACAACACTGAAGTTTACTTATGGATGTAATAACCTGAACAGATCCTACCAGGACAACAGCAGGATGACCCTAGTACATTTATCAGTGGGTACTTTATTAATTCGGGATAATATGTTTTAAAAATCAAAATCATTGTGATCATATTACTTTTCCCATTTTTATTGGCGTATCATGGCAGGGGGGACATTGAATATCAAATATATTAATTAAATATTTAAGAGTCTTAAGTAACTCCCTGGTACTCCAACAAATAACAAATACTGGCAGGAGAATGTTTTAAAATATGTTTTTACATGTGGCTTTTAATTTAATCTAATATCCTTTTTGTAGAAAACAAGCTTGGTTAAAGACTACACTACAGGTTATGGCACTCTTCAATCCAGCATATTTGAGTAGGTAGTCAGATTTTATTATTTAAGTAGGACAGTCCATGCTTCAAATATTGCGCTTAGTATATTCCTGTCTATTGATCTACTCATATCTACCCATATACACAGATGCAAGAGAAGTCTTGGGTTCTTATTTGGGTTCATTCCCCCATGACCATCTTTTCTATGGGCTAAACATACCAGGTTCCTCTTTTTCTTCAGAGGTTTCTGTTTTCTGTCCTCTGATTATCTTTACTGCCTGGCATTGTTCCAGTTTGTCCAAGAATGAGGTATAATGTACACTCAAAGGTTTTTTTCTAGATTAGATGATAGCACCTAGCTGACAATGGCTGATTTTAAAAAGCTAAGCAGGATTAGATCTGGTTAGCATTTGGATGTGAGAGGAAAGCCCAGGGTTGTTGCTAAACTGGAAAAAAAAAAATCCCAGAAGGTGGTAATGGTAACCCTTTCAATATTATTGCATGGTTCATGGGTATTGGCATTATAATGCAAAAGTTGCAGTAACATTTCTCTAAAAATGCTATCATATTATGGAACAAATTGAGAATTAAGCTAAACTTCCATTTCTTTTAATATACTGCTGTGCATTTAAAATACAACTGTTGTGCATGTTGTATTTCTGATAAGATATTCAAAATGGCACAAGCAAAGACACATATAATTACATGTAAATTTAATTTAGCATGCAGTTACATTCAGTTACATGTTAATTTTTGAAAATTTAGCCATAAACATTGTGTGCATAAATTCATCAAACTATGATTTTTTAAAACTTTGAGCCTTGTAGGCCCTCAATAAAGCTTGAGGATATAATCTTTTAATGAAGGAAGGAAGGAAGGAAGGAAGGAAGGAAGGAAGGAAGGAAGGAAGGAAGGAAGGAAGGAAGGAAGGAAGATGACAGATATTTACCTTCCAGGTTACCCTGATGCTTTGTGAAGATATGGGCTCAAGCTGAACATCCTGAGGTGGTCCATCAGGAGCTAGTAAAAAAACAAATAAATGAATTAAAATGCTTAGTCTTTCTCTTGTGCTCCATAAAACAACATATCACAAAACATTCCCAATTTCTAGAATGCTGGTATACAGCAAAGGGCAGTTGCAAAGCTGTTGTTATGCAAAACAGCAAAATGGTAACCAAGCACATGAATCAAATAGCTCCATCTTCATCCAAACATCCATGTTGCCATTTCTGCAGCCTCCTCCTGGCTGAGATGCTGAAAATGTCTGATATTGGAGGTTTTCCATTTAAAGATGTTCTCAGTGTACTATATTACCCTTATCTCCTATAGTTTTAAAATGCATGGAACTATATTTAATAGAACATGCTTTCTGCTGTATAAATCCAACACTCAACATGTGTAAGGCTTTGGGAAGGCAACAGAAATGCATGAAGGATGCACGGGCCCATACGTGCACTCAAGATTTGTACAACGATAATTTCATGGAGTGGGGCAAATGCCCTAACAGTTTTGTAATGCAGACATCCAAATCCTGGCTTTGCTGGCAAACTTGATTGTGTGGTTAAAACTAGATGAGAGGCCACTGTATCTATAGGCATAAAAACAGAAGTATGTACCCAGTGGAATGTAAGAAAGAGATATTTAGACTGATGAATATAAGAACTGAAATGAAATTAGTTAGGAAGTTATTAGCATTTAAGATTAAATGATTTAGTACCAGAACAAACAAACATACATACAGTATATGTATATATAGTTTTATTTGTTCTGGTACAAGGTCATTTAATCTTAAATATCATAAAGATCATTAAAGCTCATCTGTGAAAAGTTCAGAGTTAATAATATATCTAGTAATGGGATCTTGAATATAGCAAAGTTACACCCCTAGTACAAGAGAATGATTGACTGGATTCTGATAAAAATGGAACCATAAAAGTTTATATGCATGAACCTGTGATGGCACGGAAAGGCTATTTCACTAAATTCCAATTGTTCTGGCTATACCAGAGTTATTATCATTCTGTAGCCATGCAGAATCTAAGGGAGGTGAGACTTAGTAATACCACACTTAACTGTGAAACATTATCATTTGCCTATCCAGTTACAGGTAGCATGCAGTTCTCCTGTTTCACTGTGTAAGAATGGTACCACAGTATCTAACCATCAGCGTAGGACTACATAGAAAGACAATCTTCTGCCCTCAGTACCTATGGACCTAACATACAATATTTGAAAAATATTATTATATTTCATTTCTTCATAATGTTTAGAAGTCCCATATGGATATCTTTCCAGGAGATTCAATCATGATTCAAAGAAAACTGGTCATATAGCCCAAATTGGTACACATTTACCTGAAAATTATGCCCCCTGGTTACAGTGTAGCTAATTCCAAACTAGTGGTTATAGGATTGTAGTCTTAATTTAAAAGAAACTAGCTAAGAAATGATAACAATACACAGAACAGGAAAATCAATCTGACACCCTCCAGATGTCTGGACCAATTCCCTGGTCATCAGGCTCATTGCTGAAAAATCTGGGAATTGAAATCCATGCTTCTGGCATTCCTGGTGGGAGGAGGCTGACCTTGAAATACAAAGGCTTAGATTCCAAGATAACTTACAGAAGTACATGGAAGGAATTTATTAAGCTTCTGTTGACCAGCTAAGCAAGAAACTGGTACAAACAGACTTCTAAGGACACAAGCTATGTTAAGGAGATAGCCTGTGTCCTTAGATAGATATTACAGAAAAGCTATGAAGTCATTATGAAACTATTCCAATGACTGCTATATATTTATGGTGAAATCAAAGTTCAAACATTTGTGTCTCTTTTTCTTGCTGACATATGGCAAGAAAAGCCACTTTTGGGGGGGGGGGCAGTGAGGGAGCGGCAGGCGAGTTCCTATTTGTTGTTCCAGTAACAAACCAGTCTAGTTTCAGGCTATATGCTTGTGACTTTCCAAGAACAGGCTCTCACAGAAAGTTTCTTATGTTCTTCTCCCAAAAAACCTTCACACAGAGTATAACCAGTCTGGAAAATAATGGACTCTTGCAAATTATGTGCAGGAGAATTGTTCAGAGTAGAAAATCACTCACGTTTAGTTAATATAAAGATGCACATGAAGGGATTTTTCTGACTGCTCAGGAATCTTCCCCCAACCCTTTGCAGAGGCTTTTTAGGCCTTTTTGATGATAGGGAGACCAAAGGATAAGAATATTTCTTTTCTCAAATTTCCTTAAACATACATCTCTTAAAACTCAATCCAGAATTTCTACTTCTATTTTTAAGAATCATCATACAGTAATGGAAAATAGAAAGAATAAAATTTCTTACACACAAACAGCATTCCAGGCGTGAAAATAAGAACATTCCGTGCCAATAAAATAAAAAAACTCTACGCATATCCATTTATGCAGCATGTACTTCTACCGCAAGGTTAAAACAAAACTTTTGCTTTACTCGGTTAGATGCCAAAGCTTTCCAGAGTTGCGGATGTTGGAATTTATTAGAAAGGTGTACAGAAATCAGTACAAGTTTGGCTAAAAATTAATGAAAGGACACTGTGGATTCAATAATTCTCGTTTTGCTGCAAGAATTCCTTTTATGTGCTTTCTTTGAATAAAATATGTCAGTAGCCTGAAGTCACAATGGTATATGATATGGAATGTGCATCTCTGCCAGCAGTGTCCCTTCGCCGCCCTCCCCTTTTTATTTTTTGTTTAATATTTCACAATGTTGCTTTTGTAAAGTCTTAATTATGTTCTGTGCCTCAGGCTTCTCTCAGATGTTTGAGAATCTATACTCATTTAACATGCTTGCAGTAAATGTGGCAAACTAAAACAAACAAGGATAAATGGCGATGCTTCCATGTGCTTTGCATATATTCCCAGCTGATACCAAGGCAACAAACATTGTGACTCAGCTGAAAGCTTGGATTTCCCCCATCCCTGGCTTTACTCTGAATAAATCGGCACTGTTTGATTATGATTCTATATAATTGACCTTTCATTCAGCATGGAAAGCTTCAAGTTCAGGTTGTACATTATTAGTGGGGAAGTTAATCTCTAAATTAAGATCATTTGATTCTTCTGGAACATTAATTTTCAGTTAAATGAAAAACAGGAAATATGACTACTTAATTAAGCAAAAAAAAAAGTATTCAAAATGTTCTGTAAGCATATGCATATTAAAGAGAGACAAGCAGGAACTTTCCATAAGGGGAAACATCTATTTCCCACACTCAGGTTATCATCCACAAATACAATTGGTATGCTCTGGGTGCTCACATGACAGGATGGCAGAAGATGTTTACCTCTCCATTCTGTCACACTGCCTTCTGATATTTTAAATCCTTTGTTCTGTCTCCCAGTCTTCTTCAATGGGTTGACTCCATGAAATGGATTACTACTTTCTCCATTACAAATCATTGGTACAACATAATTGATTCCTTTCTTTACATATCACAGCATCACAATCATTTAAAAGCTGGGGTAATTTTTGTATTACTAAGTGATGCCAAAAGTAAGAATATATATTCAATTCTGTATTACAAAAAAGATATACCTTCCTTGAAAGATGTTTTGCATCAGAATATATACAAGGAGTGCCCCAGTGGGCTAGCAGGAGACTAAAGCAATAGAAGCATGTTTTTGTCCACTTTTCATTCATTATTTCTCACATACCTTTCTGTTTCAACAGAAGTCTTTATGACTCCTGGCATATTTCTTTCTGGAGAGATAGCTGTGATTGTCTTCTGCAGCACATTCTGCTTCCGCTACAATCACTGACTTGTTCTAGGTGATCTCAATTCTCCCACATGTAAGTGGTCATGGGTAAGATCGAGTCTTCCCCTTGGAGCAGTTTGTTAAGTGATTTGGATACGGAGGATATTACCATTCTTCCGTTGCCATGGTCAGATCACTTCTGGTCTGGTTGTGATTGATAGCCATGCTTTGCCTCAGTAGGGCCAGACACTTTCAGATGCTCTGGCCCAAGTGCCTTATGGACCTAGCTGATTTCTGGCAGACATGTGGGGATTTCACTGACAATTTGTTGGGTGAATGTGGTGAGGGTCTGATTGGCCACTAGTATGGTTCATCACCTAGAGTCCCATTGTTTGAGTTGGTGATATAAATGTTCAAAATAAATAATAAATAAATAAATGAGGCAGTGGCCAGGTTCTTGGTGAAATCAGCCCTGAGCAGCCTCTTTCTCTCTTGGTGGATATCCAGGTGACCAGGTGGTTTTGGGAGGATGTCCAAAAATCAAGAGACAGAATTGATGTCTAGAGTACAGGTAAAGAACAACTAAGAGTGAATCTCACTGAGTACTGTAATGTGCCCATCTTTGGGCCAACTCCATGACAATCAGTGAGGTGAAGCACTCTTAGTTCTCCTCCTCTATTACATTGGCAGATTGCTGTCCAGCAGCCTTGTTTCAGGTGGCCAATTCCCTCTTGGGTACAAGCCAGCCCCTCAAGTTTTCATCTGGCTGCTGTGACGAATTAGCACAAAATGTTGCTGCTAAAAATACATCTCAAAATAGCCCAGCTGATAAATCACAGACTACAGAGTATGGGGATGTGATGAAAGAGGACGATAATGAGTGAGATCTGTCCTAAATTAGTGTTGCAAGGAAATGACAGTGTGTGGCCATGGCTGGCAGCACACAGCAGTAGCCTTTGGAGGAGAGGAAATGGCATAGGAGTGGGTATAATGGTGCCAGACCCCAAATAACAGAATCAATAAAAAGTATGGACATGCAAACCCCCCATGTCAGCTTAACTGGAAAACCTATAATGCCTTAATTGATGACAGATCCAAGAACACAAACCTGAAATATCCCAGCTCACTTTCCCAATTTATATTATCCTTCTGAAGAGAGAGCTAGTTCTGTTTTGAAAACATAGGTCTAATGCTTTTTCAAAAGAGTGCTAAATATGTTTAGATAAGGATCCTAAGCAATCTCTAACTGGTGCTTTCCAAAGTGCCAATCAGCATTGTGTAGGCAGCTGCCTCTGCAAAAGCCAGATGCATGGGCTCTCCTGCAGCTCAGGTTAAGACGGCGATGGACAGCAGAGCCCAGCCATTAAAGGACATGCCACAGCAGCCTAAAGTACCCAGGAGGAACTGGGCAAAGCCAAACCTCTGACTATGTTATCAACCACATCACTGATAAAGCATGTTAGATTGCATCCACAGCAAAAGTTATGGAGAAGGGGAAGAGGAAAAACATTAGTTTGAAACAGCAAAAAGCATCTTTAAGCTGCTGTGAGACTAGACTGAAGATGCTAGAACTAAAGATGAAGCAGGAACATAAGCAGAGAAGACAAAAAGCCAGGAATCTTATCTAAAGATCCCTTTGGGGAAGTAGATAAGAAGGAAATAAGTCATTAAGGAAAGAAAGGAAAAATGTCACCTGAACCAGACAAAGAAAGTTGGGCCTGAGCATATGGAAAGACCTCAATCCCAGCTAATCAACAAAGCAAGAACTTTTGGGGATAAAAAGGGGTCCTGAAGCCCACCCACTTCTTGAGTCGTCTTTGGATCCAGACTTGGTAGCTTCTGTCTTTCTAGCTAGTGCCTGGCAGCCTAGTTGAGAAGGACATGGGAAAAGTGTGGATGAATGTGTATGTGCAAGTGAGAAAGAGCAAATGTACCCCCAAATTGTAACCAGTAAAGTTTTGCTGTTACTTTAAATTCACTGGGTCTCCGTGTATTCCAAAGAACCTGTGGTACCTCAGTGTTTGGTGTAAAGTGATTTGTGTGTGTCCCTAATTATTTCCTGGCTATTGACCAGGGCTGTGTGTCTTGCCTGCTCTAGCCACACCTATTTGGAAAACGCAGGTAGAAAGGATGGGGGGGGGGTCTTACAAAATCCGCATGCCTCAAGAGGCTGTGAGCGTGTGAGTAAGTGACCATAAGCTGAACCTGGGAGCACATGTAACACATGTACATGTAACATGCCTCCATGGTAGGTTGGGGATGACGTGAAGGTAACATCAGGACATGGCATAAAAATATGGGGCATGTCTGTGCCACAGTTAGGGGGAATATGAGCCCTTAGAAACTAGAGAAGTGTTGAATGAAACAGAGTAAGCTGGAATTAAGGCACAGTCAGAGGCTACAGAGAGACAAACTAATACAAAATGGCTGAAGTCCATTTCCAGGTCCAATTCAAATTGCTGGTATTAATCTTGATAGCAACACTAAAGAAATCAATGATCTGGCTTGGTCTAAGGCAGTTTGCTATGTTATGAAACAAAATTCCATTGCCCATTAGCTGACTTTTTTACATGCAATAGGGGTTGGCTTGACTCTTATCCTATCCAAATATAACAATAGTTCTTCATAATCCCCTTTCATAGTAAGCAGATCACTGTTTCCTTAAAACAATGGGAAATGACATACATTTTAAAAAGAAGCATTAATACTGAAACTTACAGCTGAGCACACACTTTAAAAAAAATGCAACATCTGCTCGGGCCATGGGAAAGTTCAAAGGGATGATGCAATTTGAAACAGAGCCTACAAAGTTATCTCTTAGAATCAAATTTCCAAATTGGATAGTTCCAAGACATCAAAGGAAATGAAGTATTTCATTTGATTCAGAGAGATTTGAAGGTGATTTGGAGATGCGAAGGACTTTTCCAAGTCTCCAACATTTGGTTAGTTTTTCTTCAGTCATAGACCAAACTGAGGTTGGTAGGATGGGGGAAGCTTGGAGTGCTACGATAGACTTTCTGATATTGACATGAATACCCAGCCCCTAAGTTCTGTCTCCTCTCTCCTCTCCAAATCCTCCTGTCAGAGGGCTTGAGGGAGCATCGCAGCATTGCTCTGTTGCTTCTGTGAATTTGTTTAGGCAGGTTCATTCGGAAAAAGAGAGAAAAGAGAAATTCAAAGTCTTTCTGCTGCTTTTTAAAATCTTGTTTGCTCTTTTTTATACCTCTTGCTTTTCCCCCTATCTATCCCCTTTTATCCATATTCTTCCCTAAATCTCAACCTGTTTGCCTGACCTGTAATTATTATCTCTGTTAATTGCTATGTCCTGCCTGTGTAGCATTCTTCAACTCTTTCAGCCTCTCCTATTTTCCCTTTCCCCAATACCACCAATAATTCCTATTTTCTTATCTGTTTTTGGTTTTTTTTTGGACTAAGTAATCAGTCTTCACTGTGTAAGTTTATCTGAGAGAGTATGTTTGCTGTTAGACTACCGTAATCCAAACCATTTCTTTAAATTGTTGTTGTGTATTATATTGAGAATAGTGATGATACAGAGTTCTCAGACTTCTTCAAAATGGTGCTCAAGCAGCATGTAATGTGACATTCCCAAAAAAGGATCACTCAGAATGAGTGATGTCAACAAACCTACATTCTAGTAAATCAAGCAGTCAGATGGTGGTGGCCTCTGCAATCTTAAGTTTATTTTTAAACAGCTTGTTAATGTTTTATTTTTAAATTGGAATAGCATTTTCTCCATTGCTTTAATGGAACTTCTCTACCAACTCTCTTTTAGACAATTTGGAAGCTGCTGTGCTAACCTTTCCTTATTCCTGCCATGCTTGCCTTTAAATGAGGTGGAAGGAAATATTTAAAAACATCTTTGAAGACTGAACCCTTTGAAGAAATCCAGGTGAAACTTTGCAGGGCTAATCTCCATTAAAGGATCTACCCCTCAGCTATTCTTATTCCATTCTGCCAAAAACTGAAGCAGTACAAGCATTTTGATCCTCCCTTAGCCTACATTAAATCTTTTATTAATTTAAATTTTGAATTAGTACACATGAAGTTACCTTCAAATCTTGAATCACTAATGTGAATCAAATCTTGTCAGCTTTGAGCCTCAAATTCTAATCAAAATTTGGCTGACTCACCCACCCAAAATCCCCCATTCACTTTTTCACTTAGAGTCAAGAGTTGAAAGAACTCAAAAAATAATTTCAGATTTAATTCTGCCATTTACTTCTATCTGAAAGGTGCTGTCACTGCTTTAATTATATGATAATTAAAGTCACCTTCTCAGTCAAATCATTAAAACATAATACAATGAAGCCTTGATTTAATGGAACCTCCATTTAAAGCAGATATTCTATGCAATGTTCTAAACTTCCAAACAGATCTACAGGTAGTCCTCGACTTACGACCATTCATTCAGCAATCATTCAAAGTTACTGGTGCTGAATGAAGGGACTTATGACCGGTCCCCAAAGTTATGGCCATTGTAGCACCCCCTCAGTCACATGATCAAAATTTGGGCACTTGGCAGCCTGCCTGGACATACAACCACAAAGGTGCTTCAACTCCCCCCATCCGCCTATCTCCCCCACATCTATATCCTTTTCACCCCCTGCTGCCCTGTGCTCCACTGCCCCAGCTCACCTTCATTGTCTTCTTGCTCCTGCTGTTGGGCTGAGCTGGGACTGAACTTCATGCTTTGGGGGGGGGGGGGCACAAAGCAGCCCCAGAAACACAGCATGTGAAAAAGCCCCTTTGCGCTGCCCTCCTAGGCTGGGCTGGGCTGGAGCCAGCTTTGTGCTATGGAAAAAGCAGCCCCTGAGCTGCAGCGCTGCTTTTTACTTTTCTTTTGGGGAGGGCTGCTTTATGCTTTTCTTTTTTTTCACAGCACAAAGGCAGCCCAGCCCAGGAGGGCGGTGCAAAGGGGCTTTTTGGCATGCTGTGGCTCTAGGACTGCTTTTTACTTTTTTTTTTTTTTTTTGGCAGCGCAAAGCCACCCCAGCCCTGCCCTGCAGCCAGGCCAGGCATGCCTCATCAGCAGTGGAAGCAAGAAGATGGTGAAGGTCAGCTGGAGTGGGGGAGCACAGGGCGGCAGGGGCCTTGGAGTGCAGAGTGGTAAGGTCGACGGCGCCTGGGATTGGGCTGGGGTGGCTGCAGCTTCCTGCAGCATGGCAAGCAGCCCCAAACACAGTTCTGGGGCTGCTTGCTGCCCCACAAGGCCGGGTGCAGGGTGGCCGAAAGGGCAGAGATGGGGCGGGAGATAGGTGGGTGAGGGGAGTTGGAGGCAGTCCCTTACCTTACTGAGGCTCGGGGCTGGGAGGGACCAAGCCTGGAACAGCTTGGATTGGGGTGGGTACTCACTTAACAACCCATGATTCTTGGTTAATGATGGCAACTGGGACTGCCAGGATTGTCATCACTAAGCAACGCAGTCATACGATGTCTCACTTTACGACCACATTGCTTAGTAACAGAAATTCTGGTCTGAGTTGTAGTCAAAAGGTGAGGACTACCTGTATCCCCTTGAAATAGCAGATATATTGATTGCTTCCAAAATAGTCCAGCTGAGAGAGTTAAATTTACATTAATTTCATCTTACTTTTACAATATCTGTGGTGATTTATGTTATTTATATAATGACAGCATTATCCAAATGACATCATTTTCATAATGACATTAGGATACAAGCAACACAATATAATTTCCTTATTGTGTTATGATACCATTATGCAGAGGACATAAATGTCCACAACTATATACTTAGATAATTAACAGACAAATTTTCCTCACCAATGGTGTGTTGAAATGTGGTTTCACAGTACGGAGAAAAAACATTACAAAATGGCTTAAATCCAAACCAGTATTAAATATGAACTCATATTTCCACCTTGGTTTAAGTACCTAATGGTAAAGTCCTAAGTTTAAAAGTATCAATATCAGGCTACTGAGAAATTTTCTGTTTAACTGATATCATAATGCATCATAAATATACAACTCCTTGCCATACGTGGCATGATAAAGTGCCCCAATTGTGCACATCCAGTAATAAATTTAGCATTAAATTGAATTAATGCCTATGTAGAAAGTACCTGCTTCATCAGTGGTGATGGTAAGCTCATTGCTGGCTTCACTTTTGCCAATCCGATTTTTTGCATACATGCGGATGTTGTAGGTGGAAGAAGCATGTAGGTCAATGATTGTGGCTTGATTCAGCTGTGGGGAAACATCTTTGGTTCTTTGGACAGAATCCCAGGAGTCTATTTAAAGAAATTGTGAGAAATATAGTAAATGTTCTTCCATTCATGCCTTCATTTGTTTAAAATATTGAACTAAATAACAAGCAGCCATTTCAAGGACAGATAATACTGGTAAGACGTCCCTACTGTATATTTACTCTTAGTTAAACAAGGCTTTGACTAGGGAATACTAGGTCTGTATTTACGCACATATGCTCTTTAACATACATATTCCCTCAAATGAACACTAGGAGGAAAATAAGCAGGAAAGGTACCAAGGGACATTTACTGGGGACCCTGTTGCTATGCACTACAGAGCTGCTTTTAATAAGATGGGTGGTGACAAATTTGATATATAAATAAAATATAAATGAATAAGCAGTTCTCTTTGGTATAAATTATTTTGAACAAATAGACAAGTTCATGCAGTACAGCAGACGTTCCCAACTTGATGACTTCCACATTTCTAGCTGGTTGAATATGGATTGTGACAGTTATCCCTAATAACTGGGAGGGATGGGTTAGTGAAAGTGCAGGTGTCTACTAATGGCCAACAGTTATCTTGTCAGCCAGAACGGATTGGAGTCTCAACTACTCCTCTATCTAGGAAGCACTGAGGATTAACGGTAACCAAAACCTAAAGAAGTGGGAAACCTCTTTTCTATCTGTTTGAATACAGAGTTACACGATACTTTATTGTTTGATTAGAAGTACACATGAAATCTGGGAAATTGGATGTCTGTGGCAACAAACTCTTGTGCTGAGTCTAATTGAGCAGGGAAGGAAACAAAGTGCCTGAGAAGAGAGGGTGATGGATCAACTTCATAGCAGCACTAGAATGAAACCCCAAGATTATATCATTCATATTTTCTCCATTTTGTACAAATCTCCTTCTCTGCCTCAGTGTAAGCATGAAATGAACAGCAGGCCACGACTGGTGGTTAGGAGATCACACACACTGTGTTAAAAACCATCACGCTTGATAAGGTATTTCAGTAGCTACAATCATTACATTAAAAGCTATGTTAGGTTTGTTCTCAGTGAAACATAAAAATTCCTATAAAAATTTGCCCTCCATGTTTTATCTGAGTAAATAAAAACCCTTTGATAGCATTACTTTGCACACTTGAACTGACCCAAAATACCCAATGAAACACTTGCAGCACTCTGATACAATGTAACCAACCTAATGGAACAGATAAAAATAAAAATATCAACACATATAAAACTCAAAGACCTATGCCTCACCATATACTTTTAGTTTGGCAGGCAAAACTATGTTCAGCTCAAAGGGAACTTGATGGGATCCCCAATCTCAGACTCATGGTAGAAGCAGTATGTCATCACAAGAAACTATAGTCCTCCAGCTAATTCAGTGCAACATGTGGATCCATTATGTAGACAACACCTTTGTAATAGCAGTAGTAATAATAATAATGATAATAATAATATTAGAAAACACATATAATTTAAGCAATCATATGGTAAACAGAATCAAATTCACAAAAATAAAAGAACAACAAATTATCCATTCTAGACTTCCTCATTAGTCGAAAATGCAATGGCACACTTCAGACCCAAGTCCACCATAAAGTAATCCACACAAACCAAATCCTCAATGACAACAGTGAAACCCAACAGCAAACAAAAGGAGCTGCATAAAGACTCTTTTCAGGCAAATCATAAAACTTTGCAGGATATCAGACCAGACTGAAAAATGCAAGGGAATTCTTAGAAGTATGACACTTTGACTAAGCAGCAAATCAACAGAAAATAGATTTAATTTTCCTATGGACTTATAAAAAATACAGTTAAGGACCTGACAGAAGCACATCAGCTCAACAGACAACATCACACAGCAATCAGGAACCTGCAGATAAACTACAGCCATTTCCTTATCAACCTCTTAACCAAAACCCAACCAGTTCGGCAGTCACAGCAAAGGACAGTGCCCTCCCAACAGGCCTTCCCCTCACACAGCTATCAGCGCCACCAATCACACAGGAACAATCGCTGCACAGATTAGAACTGCTTAACAACTAAATAAATAATTTACCACCGACAAGGCATTGATCACTTGCAAAACAACATTCACCCGCAGAACCATCCCACTGAAGCCCACGCAAAGCAGGCAAAACAGAAGGATCTATTACTCCAGCCAACCCAGCTCGTGCACTGATTGTGTTACCTAGTAAAACAGTGAAACGCCTGCAGCCCAAGACCAAGTTCAGAGAACTCCAACAATGTATCATCACTAAAAATAGCTGAGAAAATATGAAACAAAAGAAATGCCACTTTTCTAAAAGAAGAGCAGCATCAAGCTTCAGGTCACCAACTGATGACGCTCAAAAGAAGCTGGAAAGAACTGAAAGGAGAAAAGAGTTATACTTGCACTTGGTTCTGAGGATTTCTTTTTCTATAGTAGAGCTGCGTCATACATTATGGCATGAGGGCTCTGACAAGCCGAGAAAAAATGAATCCCAATGCTCTGAGCGTGAACTGTTTTACGGTTACCCACACTTATAATGATAAATAGACATTATACTACTATATTTTAAACAGTGTTCTATCTCTCAGGGTGTTCTTATGCTAAAAGCATATTCTTCGCTGATTCGTTGTTTTAACTGTAGGAAACTAATCTATTTCTCAGATCGTTTCCTTAGTTCTCTTTCTTCAAAATATATTGGGCAGCCTTCTCTTCTATACCCTTGGTTAAATTAATATATGCTAGATGTACATCATATCCGCCTGAGATAGCTAGGGGTCTCCATGTATAGAGGTGAGTGAATGAATTCATGCCTGGTGAATCTAGCTGGACATTTCAAAGGACACATGTTCAGAGCCAGGTACCTACAACTTCACAAATATTCTAATCAGAGATTAGACCAACGTATGGATATCATTTGGGGTGGGGGAAGTAAGCATAAGTTTGGTGTAGTGGCTAAGGTGTTGGCCTAGAAACCAGGAGACTGTGAGTTCTAGGCCTCCCTTAGGCATGAAAGCCGGCTGGGTGACTTTGGACCAGTCACTCTCTCTTAGACCAACCCACCTCACAGAGTTGTTGTGGAGAAAATAGGAGGCAGGAGTATTAGGTATGTTTGCCTCTCTGAATTGACCAAAATATGTTAAAAAAAAAAAAAAGGCAGGAGAAAAAAACTAATAATAATATTTTTTTTTCAGTCTTGTAGTGGTATATCATTATGAACAGCGGTACAGATATATCTCTGAAATTGCAAATGATAACAGTATAGGACATTGTATTTGAAAATAAATCTAAGATTTGGATCACTATGGAAATCTCCACACAATCTCTTGAAAACATCTGAGTGAGTTTGTACCAGAAATAAGGAATATGATGGGGTTACATGGTTTTATTCTGTAATTTTGTCTATTTTTGGTTATTAATTAATTAAACTATATTTGTAGCCTGCCCCAATCCAAATAGACTCTGAGCTGGGAATGACAAGGTTGAAAACAAAAGCACATTAAAACCAGATACAAATAATAAAAATATTCATAAACAAGTCACACTGTGAGACACAAAAAGGAAAACAGTTCATTTCAATTTTTTCTTGAGGATCTGTTAGCCTTTTTCTGACATTTTTGTCAGAATGAATTTTTGTACAATTCTTGTGACAGCACACAGAATAAATCCCAGAACTTTCTACATAATCTTAGAATATTATAACCCAAATGCTTAAAAGGAGGCCTTTGAAAGAATGGAAAGAAAAGCATGAATATGTATTGTTTTTAATTGTTTTTATTGTTTTAGAATTTTTCACCACCCAGAGTCACTTGGTTGAGATGGGAGGCTATAGAAATTAAATAAATAAATAAGTTCCACAGTTTATCATAAGAGTATATGGGATTTACCTGTATTTCATAAATGAAAACAAACTTAACTTTATCTGCAAGAACTGTTCTATAACAGAAGAAAGGCTTAAAGAAAATATGCAAGCCACAACCATGAACTTTTCATGGACTATGAGACAATATAATAATATTTGGCATTATGTTATTGTTGTAAAATACCTTGAGGGCTTACATAAGCAGAAAGATAGGCTAGCAATTTAAAATAAAAAGTGAATAAATAAAAATCTTTCTACAAAACTAACTACACTGACCTTCCAATATCAATACTGCAGGTGTTGTCAATAGATTTATAGTTGTAATGTTTTTTATAAAGCAAGTGCGAATATGCCTGAGAATACAGAACTCACATCCTTAATCATAATTCCAGATTTAGAAGCTAGTATGGACATTTCTACACTTAGTATTAATTAGCTAAAACAAATCAGGATGAAATATATTAGAAAACAAGCCCAGTTACTTTCCCTGAGGAGGTAGAATAGAACTAGCTAAATTGTACATTCATATAAAAAAATTGAAGAACAACAAAATTCTGAAAGATAAAGATTATAAAGCAATTCATTTGGTATTAGTTCTGAATGAAATTCATAAACACTTAAATATATGCTGTCGAAAGTTCACTCAGATTAGGCAAAAGTAAGAAAATCTTGTGGTACTGCAATATGGCATAACTATTTGCCAATCTTATCGTTCTTTGAATTTATTTATTATTTAAGATTGTGTTTATGTTGTATTTTAACTGATTTTATCTCTGTAAACCGCCCAGAGTTGTTTTTTAATGAGATGGACGGTGACAAATTTGAAAAATAAATAAACAAACAAACAAACAAATAAATAAATAAAGTATGGCAGTACTTGTGGTACTGCCATATGGCATAAATTTTCAATGATGGAATATACACTGTAATACATTGATTAATACTGAGGTGTATTTTCTCTGCAACAGATTAACATGAAACCCCATTAGAAATTTTTTAAGATAGACCAGTTGTGGGCCACACTGCCTGTGAGTGACAAGTCTACACAAATGAGCAAAAACAAAACAAAAACTAAAATTGACCAAATTTCCCGAGAAAACCAAATTGTGAAATTTCTGTGATTTTACACAAGATCAAGTAAGATTTTTGTATTCTCACCTGGTATTTCATGAG